ACGATGCTTTGCATGACAACCGAACCAAAAGTGCACAGAGAATTTTAGAGAAAAACTAGTAAATTCATTGAAATCTTCTTCAAAAAAGGCTCAGACTGCAATTTAAAAGTACAGTTTCAAGCTTTTTGTCAGTTGCAGTCAAAATGGCATTTTACAAAAATCATACTTCAAAATTCATAAACAAATTCTTACTATCGATTAGATATTTCGGAATTTTCGGGATCCCGTTATTAATGAAAGCAAATCCCGGGATTTCCGGGACGTCAAAAACACCGGTATCCCTGGATTCCGGGATCCCGGGATTGGCATCCCTAATATGTACATACATGCATATATGAAAAAGTCATTCAATGCAAAGGGAGCTTAAATTTTAATATTCCAAGAAAGCCTTGTAAGACGCATTTGGAAATATTTTGAATGTACCTAATATTTTCTCCGATTTGCATTTTACCTACAATATTTCAAACCGCATGGTGCCAACAATTCAATTACCAATCCCACTCGTTACTCTACAATCTTGGATATGTGTTATTGTAGCATAAGCAAAAACTAAATAAATATTTAACTAAACATATTAAAATATGATGGTAGGCAGAATGAAAATGTTGGTATAATGCAATCTGTGGCAAATAAATGTACATATATTAGTTCGTATGGTATGTAAATGTATACTAGGGGGTGCCAAAATATATACAGATACATATATGTATACTCGTAAGCGTCATTTTTACTCAGTTTTATGTGCATATGTTCAACATATATGTATACGATTTTATTGCTGTAGGATAACAACTCCTATAGGATTAAGGCTGAAAGACTTCGCACTCCATCTAAAGATCGTCGCCCAGATTACTGTATGAAAACATCCGCCAGGCTACGAAGTATTTACCGAGACGAAAAACGAGAAAGCATATTGCTCATGTTGTGATAGACGACAGAAATATTTCCAGTGTGTTAGATGTGCACACAATCCGAGGACTAATCATTGACTCAAATCACTATTAGCTTCACAACCAAAAATAAGTACAAAAGGAAGTATTTTTTTCTCAAATAAATGTCAGAAATAATCCAAAAATTTATATCATGTATTTTTTTTTGGTATCAAATAAAAAAAAAAAATGTTTATTGGAACTAATTTTTTGAGACGTATAACGTACTTTTATTTGTTATACTTGCTTTACAAGATTAAACGAAATTTGTACATACTTGTACATCTACATTTTGTGCCAGTAATTGGAGGAACTCCGTAAAGGAAAAGGGTTGATGAGAACGTGTTAAGAGGGAATCGTCTGTATAGGGGAATCTATTTTCAAAGTTGCTGGGCATAGTTGAAAAATTACACAGTTCACCTAAAAAAATTACGGGTTTCGTGGATAAGGCTTTCTATATATTTTAGTGCTCTAAAATCATGACGAATATTATGTGAGCACTTTTTTAAGATAAGGAAAAAACACTGCCGTGATGGAAAAACGGACTTCAGTTTTCTACTCAGCGCATCAAAATACATAAGGAAAATATAGTCGGATCCACAACTCCGAAACTTTTTAGTAGCTGAGTTATCAATGGAGGGCAAGAAGAAGTCTATTGTACTGCGTATACGGCTTCTAATGGATGGTTAAGAGCACCCCAGTGTACAACATGAGGTGTTCTATAAATTTGTGTCAAATATTTTGAAACTAAATTTCGACAATTTGTAAGCAATGTTCAGATGTTAGTCCATGTGTGGTAGTTATCCAGGTCATCACCATTTACAGCACCTACACACATAACTATCAAAAAATATGTTTACTTGAACAATTGGGTAGATGCACATGTAGTAAATGTAGTTATTAGAATGAAAATTTATCGACCA